TTACCCTGTCCAACGCCAGACGATTTTTAATACTCAGTCAGTGGTAGGGTACTGTCAATAAATGGGTTAACAAGGATAACAATAATTAGCCTGCATGGTAGGCGGTAATTCCCAGGCTTGCCCAATTTTAGGAACCGCCTGCCATGCAGGCTAAACAATAATAGGATGTTTCTGAAGGACTCGTTCGACACCCTGTAGTTTGTCTTTTGCTGTCAAAGGCAGCATTACTGCCCTGTGGGTAACCTAGTTATAGCTTCTTAAACGAACAGCAACACAAAAATGTAAAATTGCAAATTCAATACCGTCGGCATTTCGCTAAAGAATGGTTCAACTGATTTTAATACAGAGCAACGAGTATTTGTTGTAACAGCTTATACGTTAACGCAAAGTGTAACTGAAGTGCAAAAAGGCGTTTACAATACGATTTTCTGATCGGAATCCGCCTAACAAAAAGACGTTCGTAAATACCAAAACCCAGGAACAAGCTTAAACCGCAACAAGGGCAATTCGGACAGGCGAAGAAGTGCTCGAAGTGAAGAAAATGTTGCTGCTGTGAGAGATCTGCTACAGGAAACCCCACGACGTGTTAGCGCTGGTCGTAATCTGTAGAAGTTTCAAAATCAAGTTTCAACAGGTGATTACAAGATTAGATTTACGATGGCATCCTTACCGAATGCACGTACGGCACGAGCTGTTGCCAGACGACTTGCCACGTCGACTACGCTATGCCCAATGGTTTAATCAACGCTGCAATCTCGTACCCATGCAGAGCCATCGTTGACGATGGCTCTGGGTACGAGATTGTCAACGACAACGCTGTCGAAACCCCAAGCCCACTACAATTTAAATAGGCGATCAGGATTGCCAATGGGCATAGTTTGCATAATTGTCTACAAGGTGTATATTAAAAAAAAAAACGCCACCTCGGAATTTCCTAAGAAATCACTTTGCAATTCTTAAGCATAAAAGATTTTAAGCCCCTGGGAATTGAAATCGAATTGCTAATACTGTACAGGTAGATCGATCATATTACTGTTGTTGTGCATTAAATAAATGCATAAATTTTGCTTTATGCACTCGCGTGTGCAGTAATTTTGACAGTTGTGCTATTTTAAATTCCCAGGCACCTATAATCTTTTGTCTTTAAAACAAAAGGTTCCGAGGTTGCGTTTTTTTTTTATACACCCTGTACTGTATTTGCAGACCAGGACATTCGGTTTTGAGAAGGAAAACTAAACGAAAACGGAAACGTTTATAGTCTGGAGAATTTGTGGTGAGTATATCTATATATTACGCCTCATACGTAGGGTACTTGTCATAGAAATACTTGGCAAAGTTTCCAATACAGACGAGCAAATAAAACTTGCCATATAATATGAAAACGTGTAGAAAACCTGCTCGTCTGCAACCGGCTTACGTCTAGACAAAGGGCCTTGGCTCGAAACGTCGAATTATTGCGTTCGACGAAGGAGAACGCTTCCTAATCGTGACGTCACGGCTGGATGCTGTGTCCTTTTGAGATTTTTTGGATGTAACATTTGCCTCGCTTTCGTGTTCATGGCATTTGCCTCGGTTTCCGGTTTCGTGCGGCGTCTTTGTGTTTCCATGTGCTTTCCATATTTTGCGAAGACAGAAGGAGATTTTAGCTGTTGTTTTGGGGTTTTTCCTGCGGTTTAATGTACAGTGGCGGCGCCAGGCTTCCAAATTTGGGGGGGCATTTGAGGGGCAAACTCAAATTTTGGGGGGGCAAGATAGAATTTTTAAAAAGGTCGCCCCTTCCAGGAAATTCGCCCCCCCCCCTCAAAACGTGGCGATATTCCTAGAAATATCGCCCCCGGGGGCGAATATCCTAGGAATATCGCCTCCCAGGGGGGTGGGGCGAATACCCTAGGAATATCGCTCCTCTTTAGGACATTCGCCCCCCATATATGCGATGTGG